TGCAAGTCAGTTGGATCATATTATGGTCCAAAAACGAAACCAGAGGAAAATACATATAAATAGAACTAACGAACCAAACAAAAGAAAACATATTTCGATTTCGCTCATCCGTGACGGAGTCGGTCCTGATGGGCATTGTGATGCAAATGTAGGGTATTCCGCTCAACAAGTAGAAACCCTATAGTCTGTTGCCAGAAACTACTTTGAATGACAATGGGGGGGGGGGGGACTTCAATATATCAACTGCCATTGTATCTGAGTACTTTTCCCACAATTCAATCATTTAAATCTACATGTAGCTACACTAGCGAATCTAGAGAATTCCAAATCTCATCAACTCAGCTCTCAATTAACTGAAGAAAAAGAGGATCATGGGGGAGCAACTGGCACCGCTTAGGCATTGTTTTCTTTATAGAGGGAGCAAGTAGCTACAAGTAGTGCAGTGGGCCTTTAATGTGCGAAATAAACGCAGGCACTCAGATATAGCCCAATGCACGGCTATATACTCGTCTCAATGATCAATATTTTGTGCAATACTTTTTCTCTGTATTAAATGTGGAACAAACTTATAATGATTCTTTTGGCTCATTAATGTTTCAACCATTGACCATGCATGGTTTTATATCGAAAATCTAATTGTGATGTATAATCTCAAAAGAAATTGAATATGTGTCTCTTTTTGATGTGGATTTGATAGTAGTGCCCGGCCCTTCAATGGCATATTGTTAAAACTTCCTCTTTCTCTCTCTCTCGATCTCTCTCCCATTCTTAATTCATCGGTCTCGCTCTTTCCCATCTTTCTCTCCCTCTCTCCCTCACTCTGTCATCGCTCTCTCTTCTCTCACTCTCTCATTCTTTTCGTCTGCTCCCTCTGTCTTCCTTTCTCTGTCTCTCTCACACTCAAACCGCCAAAATAATGTATTACGACGGTGTGACATATAATTATGACAAGAACAATCGCACCAACGCAAATGGGGATTTCCCCCTATCGCGCTGACATCGGTTGTTATGAAAAGCCTGGAAAGACTGGTACTAGCTTGCAAAGCTGACATGAAGCTCAGTTCTCCCGCTACTCGATGTAAACCAGTTTGTATATAAAGCGAAGCGTTCCGTTATACTGATGCAGTTCTCACCTTGACAAACATGCTGTACGAACACTTTAATGGATAAGGCAAGGTTTTTATGCCAGAGCAACTTGCATTTTCTTCTCATCGGCATTTAACACTATAGAACCCCTTATCCTTCTACAGAAACTTCAACATCTAAAAGTTCAGCCCTCTCTATTGTAGCCTTTAGTCAAGGCACTCGTGCTATTTCCCTAAACGCGCCTGAATACATAGACTAATCGCGCGACGACTGTCAGCATAAAGAGGCTCGGTCCTGGTCTGCAAGCACAAACCATGGTCAGTCGTAAAAGTGAGTCTGCACTATAAGACTACCATAGGCCATTTACTGTAGCTGCTCCTGATATTGACACAACCAGTAGGTAGCTGGGCTAGGCTTCTCTCAAGGCACAATGATTTTTTGATAAAGTGTCATATTAGGGTCTGTGCTTGCAGACTAGCTCGGTCCAGCTATCACTGCTGTAAAGCCACACTGCGTTAGTCTAATTTCAGACCCTGTTCGGCAGACAAGCAGCGCGCGAGGCCTTGTCCAAAGGCTATCTCTATTGTGGCTGCAAAGACCTCCTCCATGAAAGGACACAGAAGGTCAAAGTCAACGGTGTTCTCTCTGACGAACTTATCACAACAATTGGTACCCCATGCACAAGGGTGTGTCCTCTCTACGGCCCTGTTTACCCTGTACAAATGCAGATGATACAGTAATAGGATTGATAATCATTGATTGAAAATGAAAATGAATTTGATTACAGAGCTACCTTTTCCATGTTCGAAAATTGGTGTAGAGAACACCCATTTACTGCTGAACTCAAAGAAAACAAATGAAATCTTGTTTGACTTTAGGCAAATGAAATGTTTTGAACCCATTGATAGACATACTTTAATGATAATACCATTGAGAATGTTGAAAGTTATATATACATATATATAGGCACAGAAATCGATAATAAGCTGTCTTGGGAAGACAAGTCAAAGTATACACCCTAACAAAATGCAACCAGCGTTCGATTTTCTTAGAAAGTTAATTAAAATACTTTCATGTGAACAATAGAATTCTGTTTCTCTTTTAACAGTCGATCATTCAGAGTACTATCACATTTGATAATGCAAAGCAAAGAGACAAACAAAAGCTGAGAAGGGTTGTAAAACAAGCCAGCAAAATAATAAACCATACTGTTGACCTACATGAAGTCTGTAAGGAAAGAGTAGGCCCTATCCATTATGTTTGATCCAACCCACCCCTTTAATGACCAGTACATACACCCGAGAAGCGGACAAAGATTGAGATCTGTAAAAGCAAGAACTAGTCGCCGAATTACTTCATTCATTCCACTTTCCATAAGAGTTGTTAATGAAATCCAGTAGAGAGAAGAGTTCTAAACGAAGACAAGAACGGTAGAGAATGGGAAAACTATGTACCGGTAAAATACCTTATAGACATGTTACACGAATTGATGTTTTAGTATACTTACTTATTGTTGTACCCCCTACTGTTTTACCATATCAAGGAATAATTAGAAAAAGTTAAAATACCTACTTCAGATTAGAGAATAGAAGAATAAAAGAAAAGGGAGGGTATATAAGAAGAGAGAGAGAGAGAGAGAGAGAGAGAAAGAAAGAAGAAGAAGAAGAAGAAGAAGAAGAAGAAGAAGAAAAGAAGAAGAAGAAGAAAAAGAAGAAGAAGAAGAAGAAGAAGAAAGAAAGTAAAAAGTATATTCATCATGATCATGTATATTAAGTGTATACTCAAAACAGGGCATTGAGACTAATTCAGAAGCAAGGTTGAACAAATTTCAGACAAACATGAACTATGTGTTTATTGTGAAGAAAAATATACAATTCACATGTATTAAATTAAGTACTTACAATTGTCAATTATAGGTTGCAGGCCTTAAATTTCAATATTTTTAGGGCAAGGCCACTTTTCTGTAGGGCACATTCCTATATTACAGCACAAATAGGAAGAATTGGAAAGGGCACAAAAAATCTAAAAGGCCAATGAGAGGGGCATTGAGGCCAATCAAAAGGGCATCCAAGGCTATGGCCTTGGTGGCCTTGGATTAATTTAGGCCCTGATGTTGTCTTTGTGAAATTACTCTGAAGCAAGATTGTAAATGTAAATATGAACAATGGACAAAATAAATGAAATGAAATGAAACCTTAATTTCAAATGAGAGCTCCAGCAATAAAATGTAAACCACTACCCCCCCCCCATAAAAATAATAATAAAATAATAATAATAATAAATAAATCATTAAAGATTGAAGATTGCTGTTTTTGTTATGAATATCTTGTCAGCCTCTAGACTTCAAATGTTTCATCGCCAAGAGGAATTATTATTATTTCAATTCTTATCACCTGCAAATCATTATTTCTTAAACTATCTATTTATTTCTATTAACATATTTCAACAAGATAATATAATCAACACACGGCTGTTTTGCATTGTGGTCCTGTAACAAATCATACAGTCCAGTGAGTTAACATTGAAAATAATAATACATACAGCGAAAATATATACTACTTGATGAACGAAATATCAATAAAAAGTGTACTTACAGTATGTACATATAAGTAAGTCATTTAATATGGAACTAAAATTAATTAAAAACAGAATATGAATATTTATTCATAATACATGATATATAAAAATGGTTTGGAATTGTAGGAAAAATAATGACTTTAATTAAGTATGAATAAGAGTAAAAGTTGAATTTCAATGATAATTTGTAAAGGGTTGTATAAATTTGTATAATCAGAGTTGAATATATGTATACCTGTACATGTACATTATCAACTTTTTTCACCAGTATCCCTTCTTATAAATCTGCAAGGTTTAATTTTAGTAACACAATCACTTAGAACGTTATATTGTCAATCAGAATATATTCTCAGGCAACTACTTTTTCTGCAGTAAGCATGCTATGTATGTACACGTCTAACTATAATAAGAACAAGTATTATAAATACATTACTACTAAAGTCAAATTAGTTAAAGTTTATATCTACTGTGGCAGCACATTTCATCCACTAAGAACTTAAAGGTCGTCAGTTTCCATGTGTAGTAGGTCATAATCCGCTGACACCAGACTTGGTGGAAATACTATTAATGGGTGTACATGTCTCGCACACAGCAAACAAATGTCTCATCAAGAAATTTTTTGTAGTAATCAAAAGAAATTTCACAGAGTAGTTATTTTGCAATTGATCAATTATAACATTCAACATGCATTTCTTATTTTCATCTGCCTTTTCATACATGAAAATATCACGTACGTCACACTAATTAATATTTATTTTGACTAATTAGCATAGGATTCCATAATCACATAATTTTTTCGAAAAATATCCTGCATAGCCCTTTGAAAACTACCAGAAGAAAAAGGAGAATGAAAGGATCACACAAGTTACGGTTTCAGCTTTAAAATGACATACATACAATTTGCAATATTTTTACAGAGTTTTAAAGCCACACTGTCCTAGTTGTAGCTACTTGCTCTATATAGAAAACAATGCCTAATCGGTGACCATTGGTCCCCCATGATCCCCTTTTTCTTATGTTAATTTAGAGCTGAGTTGATGAGATAACCACCTGTCCAGTGACCTTGCAGGGTGGTCTAATCCCTCCTATAAACTAGTACAGATAAGCTTTAATTTGCGAGTCCCTGGGGGAGGACGTCTTGGACGTGCCCGCCCGATTCTGAAGGCTGTTCTTTACTGTGTGTGTTTTCATGTCGGATCAGTTCACCGTTGGTTATGTACCTCTTCTCGCACTGGGAGCACGTAGGAAGCTTACTCCCAACGCGTTTACGCATAATGTCAAGGGCAAGCTGGCCCCTGGTAGTCAGTATCTTCTCACACTGAGAGCACGTAGGAAGCTTACTCCCAACGCACAAGCTGGCGCCTGGTAGTCAGTATCGTCTTGCATTGCCTGCATTTATGACGCGCGATCCCAACGTGCTTACTCATGTGTACAGAGAGGGCAAATTTAGAGGGATGTTTCTTCATACACTTGGGACACGCATAAGAACTCTCGTCGAAATGTGTTTTCATGTGGGTATACATGGATGTAGAGTTAGTAAATGACTCGTAACACTCAGAACATTGAAGATCATCTTCCTCGGGGTGTGTCGACTTGGTATGACTCCTCAGATCTCGCTTGAAATTGAATCCCTTATTACAGAAAGAGCACTGGAAGGGCTTTGGGGCGGTGTGTTTTCGCACATGCCTGTTCAGATTACTCTTGAAGTAGAATCCTCTGTCACACTTTGGGCATAGGTGAGGTCTAGGGGTGGTGTGTCTTTCCATGTGCTTGTTCAGATTACTCTTGAAGTAGAATCCTCTGTCACACTTTGGGCATGGGTGAGGTCTAGGGGTGGTGTGTCCTTCCATGTGCTTATTCAGATTACTCTTGAAGTAGAATCCTCTATCACACTTTGGGCATAGGTGAGGTCTAGGGGTGGTGTGTCTTTCCATGTGTTTATTCAGATTACTCTTGAAGTAGAATCCTCTATCACACTTTGGGCATGGGTGAGGTCTAGGGGTGGTGTGTCTTTCCATGTGCTTGTTCAGATTACTCTTGAAGTAGAATCCTCTGTCACACTTTGGGCATGGGTGAGGTCTAGAAGTGGTGTGTCCTTCCACGTGCTTGTTCAGATTACTCTTGAAGTAGAATCCTCTGTCACACTTTGGGCGTGGGTGAGGTCTAGGGGTGGTGTGTCCTTCCATGTGTTTGTTCAGATTACTCTTGAAGTAGAATCCTCTATCACACTTTGGGCGTGGGTGAGGTCTAGGGGTGGTGTGTCTTTCCATGTGTTTATTCAGATTACTCTTGAAGTAGAATCCTCTGTCACACTTTGGGCATGGGTGAGGTCTAGGGGTGGTGTGTCCTTCCATGTGCTTATTCAGATTACTCTTGAAGTAGAATCCTCTATCACACTTTGGGCATGGGTGAGGTCTAGGGGTGGTGTGTCCTTCCATGTGCTTATTCAAATTACTCTTGAAGTAAAATCCTCTGTCACACTTTGGGCATGGGTGAGGTCTAGGGGTGGTGTGTCCTTCCATGTGCTTATTCAGATTACTCTTGAAGTAGAATCCTCTATCACACTTTGGGCATGGGTGAGGTCTAGGGGTGGTGTGTCCTTCCATGTGCTTATTCAGATTACTCTTGAAGTAGAATCCTCTATCACACTTTGGGCATGGGTGAGGTCTAGGGGTGGTGTCTCCTTCCATGTGTTTATTCAGATTACTCTTGAAGTAGAATCCTCTGTCACACTTTGGGCATGGGTAAGGTCTAGGGGTGGTGTGTCCTTCCATGTGCTTATTCAGATTACTCTTGAAGTAGAATCCTCTATCACACTTTGGGCATGGGTGAGGTCTAGGGGTGGTGTGTCTTTCCATGTGTTTATTCAGATTACTCTTGAAGTAGAATCCTCTATCACACTTTGGGCATGGGTGAGGTCTAGGGGTGGTGTGTCTTTCCATGTGTTTATTCAGATTACTCTTGAAGTAGAATCCTCTATCACACTTTGGGCATGGGTGAGGTCTAGGGGTGGTGTGTCCTTCCATGTGCTTATTCAGATTACTCTTGAAGTAGAATCCTCTATCATCTTTTACTCTTATATACTTTTCAGAGAAATTGTAATGTTTTAAAAATAACATTATAAATAAGCCTAAACCCTACTGTTATTAGGCCTAATACTTAGTTATCATGCAGAAGGATCCGATGAATACACGAGTTGGAATTACTGGAAGCCTGACCACCTGACTACACTCAGCTCAACAGCATTCTTCCAGATTCCCTGGGTAATTTAAAGGTAAAAGGAAATTTACACAAAACAAATTACGATTTACAAGAATAATGTGTCAACAATAGAAGGTTGACAAATATGTAAGCATAAGAACCAAGTAGATCTACTTAGCATTATTTCCATTAGTTGACAAATATTAGTTAACAAATGTTAGCATGGTAATATAAGAAAGATTTTCCCATAGTCTACTTACTTTTTTCTGTACCTATATTGCTTTTGGAAACCACGCGTTCGTCCGCATGCACAGGCAAGTACTAGTAGGCTCGTACATGTATTCTCACTATTGACGTAGAATCTTGATTTTCATCATTCAAGCTGCCCAAGGCCAATTTAGTTGTAGACAGAAATGACACTTTCGTGAAACAGGAATAACCGTCTGATATGGGTCATTTCTTTAAAAAAAACTGACATTTGTTGACATTCCCATAGAGGCGGTCAGAGGAGCCGGATGCAATCTCAGCGGAATTGCAGAACAATTACTGTCGATATCAGAGACTGTTCAAGCTTTCGGTATATAGTACGAAGCGTAATGCCACGCCCCGTATAGTATCGTGCGGGCACGCGCTTAATTACCTCATGGGGAATCCCCTATAATGTTATCATCATCATGGCAATATGCACTTATGACGAGCGGAACAGTTTTAACCAATCAGAACGCAGGAAACCGTACATCCATACAACCATGCATCCATCAGAAAGAAAAATCAAGCGAAAATCTCGTGAAAAATCCTATCAAGGGAGAATTGTCTTGTTTAGTTACAGGATTTTTCGCGGGATAATTGATGATAGATAGCCTATTATGTAGATTACTAAATTATCCAGATAGCTATTTTCTAGATAATGGGCCTTGTCAAAACATATAGGCATCGTCTGAACTTCCTTTTTAAATCAAATCAAAATTAAATCAAATTTAAGACTGTGATCATAACTGGTACCATATTAGTATTATTATCATTCTTTCTATTGTTGATGATCGAGAGAGAGACAGAAATAAAAACATAGAGAGAGTTTGGGATATACAGTCGGATGTGGGGGAGAGGGGGAAAGAGAGAGGGAGAGAGATACAAAAACAATGATAAAGGAGAAGGACATAGAATGTAAATGACCGCACCTCCTCTCTCTCTCTCTCTCTCTCTCTTTTTCTCTCTTGGAATGTGCAGAATAAAGGAGAGGAGAGGCAAAATAGACTGGAAAGGAATGAGGAGGAAAATTAAAAAACGTAAAAGAAGATGGGGTGTCGATTATAAGGGAATTGGAGAAAGGGAGAGAGAACGGAGACAGAAAAATGGTATAGGGGTAATGTAAATGACAGAGGCTGATACTAGAGCGCGCGAGAGAAGGAAAAGAATATGTAGGTAGATAGAAAAATGTATAGAAGACAAAGGGAAGGGATAGCTGACGAAATGTGTGTGAGAGCAAATGAAATACAGACAATGAAGGAAGAGATATCGAGAGGGGAGGGGGTGGAGAATGAAATAGAGAGAGAGAGAGAGAGAGAGAGAGAGAGAGAGAGAACGTACGGAGAAAGATATGTTTTGTATGGAACTCATGGAACCCTTATCATTCGCAATGGGTTATATACATTTATAGAGAGAATAAAAGAGAGAGAGAGAGAGAGAGAGGGGGGGGGGTATATTAATGTAGATATAAAAGACAGAGAGAAGAAAAGAGATAAATAGATAAATATAGAGAGAAAATTAAAGAAAGAAGGGGGAGAAAGGTAGACTGACTATAACAATTCGGGATGAGACTGGCAGTTTGGTGAGAGAGAGAGAAAGAGGAGGTGGGGAGGAAGGGAGAGAAATAAAGACAAATTGGGTGAAGAGAAGGGAGTGTATAGCACCAGTAGTGTTTTGTTGGATTGCTGGAGATGTACATGCATGTGTTCATACTCGTTATTTGTTTCGAGTTAAATCTATCCCCTCTTCTCTTTCATTATGTATTTCTGTGTTCTCCTTCAATCTATCCTCTTCTCTTTTGTCATGTAGACCTATTTCTTCTTTTTTCTTCAATCTATCCTTTTTCTCCTTCGATATTTCTTTGTTTTTTCTTCAATCTATCCCCAGTTCTCCTTCGTCGTTATGTATTTCTTTTGTTCTCCTCTATTCTAACCTCTTCTCTTTTGTTTTATGTATTTCTTTGTTTCTCCTTCAATCTATCCTTTTCTCCGTCGTCATCTATTTCTTTGTTATAATCTGATAGATTCCCTTCTCCTTCTTTATGTGTTTCCCTATGATCCTCTTAGCTCTTCAATTTCAACTCTTTCTTTCATCGGTCTCGCACGCTCTCTCCCTCACTCTTTCATATCGCTCTCTCTTCTCCATGCTCTCGTTCTCTATCCCCCTCTCTTCATCTTCCTTCCCTTTTCTGTTTTTCTCACACTCAAACCGCCAAAATAATTATGACGAATGGTAAAAACCTTTTATATTTCAAATGAGAGCTCCAACGATAAATCTAACAACCGCCCCCCCCCCTCCAAATAATAAAATTATAATAACAAGTCAACGCAAAGCGTAGCATCCCCTCGCCAGGTACAAATTACCATTATTTAGCCCATTTTTGCATAAATTGTAATTAGCTATGTCCCCGGCCCCCCCCCCCCACTCAGTGTTATTTAGGGTACGCATATGCTCGTTCCCTCTTTTTGAAAGCACCCCCTATCTGAGGACTGCCAACATTTCCGAACCCCCCTTTCGCGGGCTTTTCCTGCCTTGGAGACCCCCCTAAATCATGAAAAAATGGTCAATGTACCCCCCTTAATTCGGAATAGTTTCTTAGGAGTGCAAAGAGATGACAGAGAAAAAGAAAAAAACTTCCCCTTTTAAAAAAAATCTCCGGGTGAAAAGTCAAATACACCCCTTTTTTTACAATTCTCGGGCCGGACTTTGTCGCACGAAAAGTACCCCTTTACCGGACATTTTGGCAACACGCATGCGGTCATTTCGAACCCTGAGTGGGGGGGGGGGGGGGGGGGCCGGGGCTATGTCCTTTAACCAGTAGAAATGTTGGTGCTGACTATTGCTTTGGCATAACCCTGTTCCATTAAAATGACAGGAGTAGGCGAACAAACAACGAAATAACACATTTTGTTTCTGACTATTGCTTTGGCATAACCCCGTTACCATTAAATTAATGACAGGAGAAGGCGAACAAACAACAAAATAGCCCATTTTGCATACATTTTAATTAGCTATGTCCTTTAACCAGTAGAAATTTTTGTGCTGACTATTGCTTTGGCATAACCCTGTTCCATTAAAATGACAGGAGTAGGCGAACAAACAACAAAATAACACATTTTGTGCTGACTATTGCTTTGGCATAACCCCGTTACCATTAAATTAATGACAGGAGTAGGCGAACAAACAACAAAATAGCCCATTTTGCATAAATAACACAAAATAACACATTTTGTGCTGACTATTGCTTTGGCATAACCCTGTTACCATTAAATTAATGACAGGAGTAGGCGAACAAACAACAAAATAGCCCATTTTGCATACATTTTAATTAGCTATGTCCTTTAACCAGTAGAAATGTTTGTGCTGACTATTGCTTGGCATAACCCTGTTACCATTAAATTTATGACAGGAGTAGGCGAACAAACAACAAAATAGCCCATTTTGCATACATTTTAATTAGCTATGTCCTTTAACCAGTAGAAATGTTTGTGCTGACTATTGCTTTGGCATAACCCTGTTCCATTAAAATGACAGGAGTAGGCGAACAAACAACAAAATAACACATTTTGTGCTGACTATTGCTTTGGCATAACCCTGTTACCATTAAAATGACAGGAGTAGGCGAACAAACAACAAAATAACACATTTTGTGCTGACTATTGCTTTGGCATAACCCTGTTCCATTAAAATGACAGGAGTAGGCGAACAAACAACAAAATAAAACATTTTGTGCTGACTATTGCTTTGGCATAACCCTGTTACCATTAAATTAATGACAGGAGTAGGCGAACAAACAACAAAATAGCCCATTTTGCATAAATAACACAAAATAACACATTTTGTGCTGACTATTGCTTTGGCATAACCCTGTTACCATTAAATTAATGACAGGAGTAGGCGAACAAACAACAAAATAGCCCATTTTGCATAAATAACACAAAATAACACATTTTGTGCTGACTATTGCTTTGGCATAACCCTGTTACCATTAAATTAATGACAGGAGTAGGCGAACAAACAACAAAATAGCCCATTTTGCATACATTTTAATTAGCTATGTCCTTTAACCAGTAGAAATGTTTGTGCTGACTATTGCTTTGGCATAACCCTGTTCCATTAAAATGACAGGAGTAGGCGAACAAACAACAAAATAACACATTTTGTGCTGACTATTGCTTTGGCATAACCCTGTTACCATTAAAATGACAGGAGTAGGCGAACAAACAACAAAATAACACATTTTGTGCTGACTATTGCTTTGGCATAACCCTGTTCCATTAAAATGACAGGAGTAGGCGAACAAACAACAAAATAACACATTTTGTGCTGACTATTGCTTTGGCATAACCCTGTTACCATTAAAATGACAGGAGTAGGCGAACAAACAACAAAATAACACATTTTGTGCTGACTATTGCTTGGCATAACCCTGTTACCATTAAAATGACAGGAGTAGGCGAACAAACAACAAAATAAAACATTTTGTGCTGACTATTGCTTGGCATAACCCTGTTACCATTAAAATGACAGGAGTAGGCGAACAAACAACAAAATAGCCCATTTTGCATAAATAACACAAAATAACACATTTTGTGCTGACTATTGCTTTGGCATAACCCTGTTACCATTAAATTAATGACAGGAGTAGGCGAACAAACAACAAAATAACACGTCGTTCATGTTCAAGTTAAAGTTCTGATTCTTTATTATATGTCGGATAGTACAGAGCAGCAAGAAAAGCGATGTTGACGGTCGAGAACCGTGAGGAGAAAATGTACAGATGAGAATTGTAAGAGAGATAAATTATTATCGATGGAAATAAGTAAGAACCAAGAGGCATATTCACTGAATCTGACCACGAGACCAAAAGGCTAGAATGCATGTTTAGATTGACAACCCAGCCAAGTACATGTATCATGGATTGACGGTGACTTCGGTGGGTCGGTGATAAGGCTAATGGGTAGAAGGAGCATTAATCATAACCAGAGGAATTGTGGTCAGATGTTTATATGTCGGCGAAAGCAAAGAGAAGAGGAAGAAAGTTGAATGGTAGTGAGATCGACAGAAAGAGAGAGAGAGAGAATGTTGAAACAATGATTGGGAGATTTACTAGAATAGGCCGATCACCTGACAGCACAGAGTCAATGAGAAATTCCCTCCTCCATTCGTATAACACGTACAAGTAGAAGGTCTGAAACGTGTAGACTCATCCAAACACAAACTCAATGGGAGATAACACGTACAAGTAGAAACCATAAGATTTTGACCTCGTCCGTCTTCTGATCAAAATTGAATCGTAGTACATTGGTAGACATATATTGCTCCGATTGTCTCATTTTCGCTCGCGTGAACATTGCCAGCACAAACCACTGACCTCTACCTCCTGTACGGATCATCGCCCATTCCCATTCATTATACGTTACGTACTAAAAGGCTGTATTGTCTGACCGTTCATGAATATTCATGTTTTTGCTTACCTCGGCTAAATGTTTGCTTTTACTAAATTGAAAAAATACGGTGGGGGGTTGGATGAAATGGACATAATGAAATAGGCAGAAATGATCTATGATAATTCATGCTCTTTATGTTTCGTGTGCTCGACCTATAATCTTCAAATCGCTTGGGAAACTGAGTCCAAAGTTAGACTTGTTTCACATGTGTATTATAGGCAATGACGAGCTTGCAACCTATTTTGAAAAATTACGGTGGGTGAACTTTCAAAAGTCAATGAGACATGAGGGCTCCAATGAAAGAGCTAGTGATAACGTACGTCGGGGTGGATGTGCTTTTCGTTTAAACAAAAAATGAATTTTTAACGATTTTTAAAAAAAAACGTCCATAGGCTAACGTACATGTTAGGCTGCTGACTCTGACCAAGCTCTGACGATAGGGGGCGTTGTGAAATGAGACTAAACGAAGCCATATGAGTAAATTCTCAGGTACAACATAATACAATATGGGAGACATCAGAGTAGGGATAAACGAGATGTATTCAAAAAACAGCAACGGCAAATATTACTTTACTGAATCAAATTCGATTGTTTTCTTTTAAGTGGCACTGCGTCTGCCGTGACGACCACATGGACATGTCCATGCGCTCGTCACGCGTGCGTCAAAATATAAAATTGTCAAAACGTATATTAGACCAATATTTACTACATGTTTCAAATTTTTTGAACATTTCAAGTTTACCCATGACGCCAAGTTTATGCGTATTAAATATCATTCAGAAATGACAATGTATGAATGAAATATGTTCAATGTTAAAAATGTACAAAATGGCGCCTAGATGACGTCACGCATCAGTAATATAAAAACAAATCTTTGTTGGGAATAGGACAAAAAAGAAAATAAAAAAACATTCTGACGAAATTAATTGGTGCTAAGCCACGCTTATAAATAAATTAAAAAATCATTAAAGATTGAAGATTGCAGTTTTTGTTCTGAATATCTTGTCAGCCTTCAGACTTCAAATACTTGATCACCAGGAGGATCAATTTCAACTCTTATCACCTGCAAAAATTTCTTAAACTATTTATTCATTTCTAATAACATATTTCAACAAGACAATATAATCAACACATGGCTGTTTTGCACTGTGGTCCTGTAACATATCATACAGTCCGGTGAGTTAACATTGAAAATAATAATACATACAGAGAAAATATATACTAATTGATGAACGAAATATCAATAAAAAGTGTATTTACAGTATGTACATATAAGTAAGTCATTTAACATGGAACTAAAATTAATTAAAAACAGAATATGAATATTCATTCATAATATATATAAAAATGGTTTGGAATTTGTAGGAAAAATAATGACTTTAATTAAATATGAATGAGAGTCAAAGTTGAATTTCAATGATTTGAAAAGAGTTGTATAAATTTGTATAATCAGAGTTGAATATATGTATACCTGTACATGTACTTGTACATTATCAACTTTGTTCACCAGTTTCCCTTCTTATAAATCTATAAAGTTTGATTTTAGTGACACACTCACTTAGAACATTATATTGTCCATCAGATTATATTCTCAGGCAATTACTTTTTCTGCAGTATGCATGCTATGTATGTACAAGTCCTTGTTTATATACACAGCATATAATAAATACATTACTACTAAAGTCAAATTAGTTAAAGTTTATATCTACTGTAGCAGCACATTTCATCCACTAAGAACTTAAAGGGAGACGGTCGTCAGTTTCCATTTGTAGTAGGTCATAATTCGCTAATACTATTAATGGGTGTACATGTCTCGCACACAGCAAACAAATGTCCCACCAAGAAATTTTCGATTTTTTTTTTTTTTTCGTAGTAATCAAAAGAAATTTCACAGAGGAGTTATTTTGCAATTGATCAATTACAACATTCAACATGCATTTCTTGTTTTCATCTGCCTTTTCATACATGAAAATATCACGTACGTCACACTAATTAATACTTATTTGACTAATTAGCATAGGATTCCATAATCGAAAAATATCCTGCATAGCCCTTTGAAGATTACCAGAAGAAAAAGGAGAATGAAAGGATCATAACAGTAAAGGTTACAGCTTTAAAATGACAAACATACAATTTGCAATAATTTTACAGAGTTTTAACTTGTGATTCCCTGGGGGAGGATGTCTTGAACTCGTCCGCCCGATTCCGAAGGCTGTTCTTTGCTTTGTGTGTTTTCATGTCGGATCAGCTCATCGTTGGTTATGTACCTCTTCTCACACTGAGAGCACGTAGGAAGCTTACTCCCAATGCGTTTACGCATAATGTCAAGGGCAAGCTGGCACCTGGTAGTCAGCATCGTCTTGCATGGCCTGCATTTATGACGCGCGATCTTAATGTGCTTACTCATGTGTACAGAGAGGGCAAATTTAGAGGGATGTTTCTTCATACACTTGGGACACGCATAAGAACTCTCGTCAAAATGTGTTTTCATGTGGGTATACATGGATGTAGAGCTAGTAAATGACTCGTAACACTCAGAACATTGAAGATCATCTTCTTCGGGGTGTGCCGACTTGGTATGACTCCTCAGATCTCGCTTGAAATTGAATCCCTTATTACAGAAAGAACATTGGAAGGGCTTTGGGGCAGTGTGTTTTCGCACATGCTTATTCAGATTACTCTTGAAGTAGAATCCTCTGTTACACTTTGGGCATGGGTGAGGTCTAGGGGTGGTGTGTCCTTCCATGTGTTTCTGAAGATTGTTTTGAAACATGAATTCCTTCTGACATTCAGAACACTTGAAAGGCTTCTCACCGCTGTGTCTCCTCACGTGCTTCTCAAGAGTCTTTTCATACAGAAATTCACCACACTCGCCACATTTGTGATGTTTTTGGTGTTTCTTCATGTGCTTATCGCGAGACTGCTTATACATGAATGCCTGATGGCACACAGAACAGTCATACTGCTTGACTCTAGAGTGGCTGTTCATATGCACTTTAAATGCTATTTCAGACTCGTATGACTTGTCACATGTCGTACACTGCCATCCCTTTCCGTGGTTGTATTCCTCCATATGCCTCACCAAATATTCTCTTTTCCAATATCCTCTATCATGCACACTGTGGGCAGTCATAACGCCTTAGACCAGCGTGATTTTTGAGGTGTCGCCGTAGGTCTCTCTTGCGTGTGAATCTTTTATTGCACTCTGGGCATTTGAAACGCTTTCCAACTATATGCATCGACATATGTCTTGTAAGTCCACATTCTGAAATGAAACCCCTGTCACATGAAGGGCAATAATATGGATATAGACCAGTGTGTTTTAATACCTTGTGTTTGTTAAGGTTATACGTACGAGTGTATCCTTTCGCACATATCGGACATATGAACATGGGCCTTCCATTGCGCATTTCTATTCTTGGGGGCCTTTCTCCTTCCTCATCAGATTTAGAGGACAACTCTTCCTTACCCTTAGAATTCTGGCGAGGATGTTCCGCCACGACTGATCCATGAACAGACAGATTTCTTTTATGGGCATGCTCTTGAGCTTGAGTACGCGAAGTAGAACAACAATGTTGATCTTTTTCTCTGTGTTTATCTTTTTCTCTGTGTTTATCTTGATGTCTCTTCAAAAGAGAATGGGGGTAGAATTTCTCTTCACTCTCAAAATATTTGTGATATTGTTCATCGTTATGGATTCTCAAATGTTTAAAAAGGAGAGCTTTGGAGGGTAATCCTACAAAACAAGTGGAGCAGCGAGCTACTCCCTCTTCTTCCCTCTGGTTCCTATAAAGAACTCTTGCAAATTGAGATATAGCAGCAGATCTTGATGTACGACCATAATATGGCAATGAATGCTCAATGCTCTAAAGAGTATTTGCTCTGCATTCTCCATCTTCTTGCTTCACGTCTCTCAATAGAAGTTTCCTGAGTTATGATGGTGGATCAATTGGCGTCTTATGTGCACCATCTCCCACTGGAAGATTGTTTGGTTTGCACAGATCTGTAAAGGAAATAGCAATTATAATGAACATTTGTAAAGTGCAGACACTATGCAAAATAAATTCAAGAACAATGCGAGAGCTCCTGAAGTGCTTAAAATAATTTCTCCTCCCTCTCTCTACTCCCTCTCTCACTCCCTCTAGCTCTTTCCCATTCTCTCTCTCTCTCTCTCTACCTCTCTTTCTTTCTCCCCCCCCCTCTCTCTCTCTCTCTCTCTTTATTGCTATGTTGTTTGACTGATCTTTCTACTGCAGATTTTTTTTTCTCTTTACATAGGTTGAAAGTACCAGGATTCCAACCATCGCTAATTCAACCCCCACTCTTGTCCACATTTCGTCTGATTACATTGTGTATTGTCAACTGTTGTTTTTAAATACATGTAACTCTTTTACATATTTACATAAAACACGTTTTATCATATTTATATAATTGAAAGTATTTGTATAAATATATGTTGCTTTTTGTTCTCTCGGGTAATACTCTCAGAGGCCTGTCGGGATATTGGAACGAGTGTGGGCATTTCTGATGAAGCAGTGGATGGTCCCTTAATTGCTGGTGATGTCATATCGTTGCAGGATCGATCTTGAGGGGGTTATCCAGGGGTGTGGTCGCCGGTGGTATTTACTGGTGGAGGGGGGAAGATAACAGCCTGACTGGTGGTAGGAGTGGTAGAAGATGACTAAAATCCCCTATACTGCATACAATTTCCTCCCTGTGTGCACATTTTCACTTTTTAATACAATAAAGCAAAGTAGTTACAATCATGTCAAGAATATATTAGACCCTCGAGTTGGTTTTGCACGGCCATGCGTTATGGCTCAAGGCACCGTCACACAGAGGATTTGTTTATGTTGGGAACCGGGGTAAAATGCAATAAATTATTGAAAATTTATTGAATTTTCTTTGTTTTTTTATTTATGGAAACTGCCCCCTATACCCTAGCTCCCGCTGCGTACAGTCATGGTTCAGTGACAAAGCAATGGCCTCGTAACTGTGAGACCCCAGGACCAAAACCGTGTCGATGTGCTATATTAGTGCCCTTTTGTAGGGCATTAATCCTCATTGCTGTCATTTATGACTTAAGGGCGTAGGTCCCCAAGTTGATAAGCATAGCATCATACACATGCTTTAGCAGTCACGCAAAACACACAATGGCAAACTATTATTCAATAAAATCTGAGAATATATACTATTATCTAGATCTATTATTTTATTTATTTATTTATTTATTTATTTATGCATGTTCACAATTTCACAATTCATTGAAGTTAACATCACATGAAAATTAATATAAGATGACAAATCATTTTCAATTTTACAATACATTTGAATTAACTTCACGTGAAAAAGAATATAACATTGTCTTATCAAAGACAAGTTGCAACTTTTATACAGTTTGAAGAATGAACACACAAAGGTGATGAAACATAAGCAAATAGAGCTTGAATCGTTACAACACCTTTCAAATATATAATATATGACAAATAAAATTCATAAAGTTTTGTAGTGAACTATTTTCACTATTTACAAAGTTTTTAAAAAAGGAAAGAAAGAAAAAAAAAAATTCGTTAGGCCTAGTAACAAAATTATGTTAGATTTAATTAGAACTGATAAATAGATTATAATGCAAGTAATATCTTACATCTGTGAAATGATAATACATTTGAGTGCTCTTTTAAAAGAGTTTGTTGATGTTATATTTCGAATATCATTAGGTAAAGAATTCCATACATCTGGACCTCTGTGTCTGATTGATTTCTGGGCTAATGTAGTGTGAGGATTGACCACATGTAAATTCAATGACTGCCTTGTTGAGTACGAATGAACCATGTTATTAGGTTGGAACATTGAAGATAATGACGTAGGTAATAATTTGATATTAAAACGGAACATAAATATGGCAATTTGGAGGAAGTTAATATCATCAATCTTTAAGCATTTCAGTTTAACAAATAGTGGGGTAGCATGGTCACGATAACCAGCTCGGGTACATATGCGTACAGCTTTCTTTTGTAACAGAAGAATATTATTAGCCACACACTTGGATGTTGCCCACAAAATATTACAATAAGAAATGTGTGGTAAAATTAGACTATTATATAGCACAAGTAATATTCTATCAGAAACAAAACATTTTATTCTATACAGTACGCCAATATTTCTGGAGATTGGTGTAACAATGTGTTTTACATGGTCGCTCCAGTCAAGTTTTTCATTGATATAGACACCAAGGAATTTCGTACATGTCTTTCTCTCTAAAGAAATATCATCTAGTTTAATATTAAGAGCAAGGTTGTCATTAGATTTTCTACCTCTAAAATGAATATAATTTGTTTTAAGAACATTGAGAGAGAGCACATTACTTCTAAACCAAAAAGTCAACTTTGGTAGTTCCGAATTTAGTTTCTGTTCTAGAGTGTTGATTTCACGATGAGACAAGAAAACACTCGTATCATCTGCAAATAAGGTATAATTTAAAGTTTTAGATACATTACAAATATCATTGATATAAATAAGAAATAATAATGGGCCCAGGATGGATCCCTGCGGAACACCACATTAAAGATACAGAATGTCAGAGTTAACAGAGTTATAATAAGTGTACTGTCTTCTCATAGATAAGTAACTCGCAAGCCATTGTAAAGCTATGCCCCTTATTCCATAATGCTCTAACTTAGAAAGAAGAATTGAATGGTCAAGTGTGTCAAATGCTTTACTCAGATCCATAAATACACCAATGACATGCTCGTGAACAGCGAGTGCACTTTTAAAATTATTTTTAAAATAATTCTATAAATTGGGGTAAAAAAAATATTCCACCGTTATGAGCGACAGTGTATATACAATGTCGCTCATAAAGGTGGAATATTTTTGTTCTTTTCCCCCCTTCTTTTGAATAAAAGACAGCATAGGAAAAGGGTTCTAGTCTTAATCTAATATCTGGGATCGAAGGTAATATTTATTGTAATTCATCTACATAATTATGTACAGTATAACATAATAGACAATACATTTGACTGAGGAAATGCAAGTTTTGAAAGGGAAAATAATGAAGAAGGAATTAAAATAGAAAGGAAAAATGGAAATAAGGTTTATGTTCAACTGTTTTGAACAGTTGGCTGCGTTATATTTTCTTTAATGAAGGATTTTCGGAGCATGAGTCCGGCAACCATCTTTGCTCTTGCTGCTGCACAGAAAGCCCTCTTGCAAGCAGGATGGAAACCACAGAGTGATGAAGACAGAAACAAAACGGTACCGACCTCTTTAGTCTTGTTGTAGCAAATTAGAACAATTGCCTGCAACCATAGCTCATGTGCACTCAATGATCTATGTATGATGAGATATACAAATTTGAACCACACCATACTTTCCTCAATTCTTAAGAACCACCATTATCAACAACAAGATGAGAGTGGTAGTCTGGGGCGTCGCCAAAGGGGGGGGGGGGGATGTGGGGGTGCGACACCCCTCCACCTGTCAGGATATTGTCGGTAAAATTGCGCTGCCGTCGGGAAAAATAGAAAAGGGGGAGGGGGGAAAGAGAAAAGGGGAGGGAAAAAAGAGAGGAAAAGGGAAAGAAAAGAAAAAAGAAAAGGAAAAGAGAAGAAAGAAAGGAAAAGAAAGGAAAGAAAGGAAAGAAAGGAAAGAAAGGAAAGAAAAGAGAAGAAACAAAGAGAAAAAAAGAAAAGGAGGAGAGGAAAAAAAGGAAAAGAAAGAAAAGGGGGAAAAAAGGGGGAAAAAAGAGTAAAAGGGAAACAAAAGAAACGGGAGATGAAAGACAGGAGAGAGATGGGAGGTAAGAGTCTGAGAGAGGAGGAGTGGGAGTAAAAGAGAGAAGGGGGTTGTTGAGTGGAGTCGTCTTGTCGAGGGAGCAAGAAAGACACGGGTAAATATGTTGCTATGTCGGGTCAGCTGTGTCGGTATTCTTGCTCGATTCTCGTGTACTATATCAATGCAGAAGTTTGAAGTCGGTGAGATGTATATTGTCGGTCGGCCGACAAGTTTTTTTTTCCTACGAACTGTGACTTTTTATCCGCTGTGACGACTTCGAGAGTGTCCACAACTACAATA